CTCTCTCTCTCCCTTCTCTCTCTCTCTCTTCCTTTCTCTCTCTCTCTCTTCCTCTCTCTTCCTTTCTCTCTCTCTCTCTCTCTCTCTCTCTTTTCCTCCCCTCTCTCTCTTCCTCCCAACTCCCCCGTCTCCAACTCACCTCACTTTAACCGCAGTCATGACCTACTCTGAAGCCTAACATTGAGATGACCCCTACAGAAGCATACCTGCCTTATCTGGCTCTGAAGCTTTTTGGAATTAAATTCTAAGTCAGTCATCGAGATTTCTAATTTTTACTACAAAAACTGAAGTGTCACAATTGTGTGGACTGGCCCCTTAAATATCCTGTCCAGCACATGGCTCAGGCCTCCCCGTGCATGTCATTGGCGGTGTCTGCTGGTCTAAGCCTGCCAGCTTCACATAAGAAACCTTTTATGGATTGAATCGGCGTCTCGCTTGCACATAAAGCACACAATCACTTTTACGGGGTGGGAGATAGATATTAATTATTGTGCTATCATGGTTGGATAAACAGAGCCGTGGGTGACTCTTGTCCAAATGCAGAAAATATATTTTATTTTAGGCTTCCCCCCTTTCATTGCGGTGCTTTCTTATCTCGTCTCTTCTCCTGTCCAAACGCAGATTTACATTTTTTACGGCACTCGGTCAAACGCTGAGTTCGTCATCCACAACGGATTCTTCTTTGAAAACAACGCTCACGACCGGGTGAAGATAAAGCTGGGCGTCAGTAAGAGCGACAGGCTGTACGCCATGAAAGCCGAGGTCCTAGCCCGAGCCGGCATCCCAACGTAAGTGGCATGTTGTGTCCTCCTTTCCATGGAACACCCCCAAAATGTTTTTATGTAACCATTGCTGTGCCCCAAACCTTGTTACGTCGCTGTACTTCATGGTGTGATGCAGCCTACCTTGCTAACAAAGGCCATTTCTGTAATAAGTCATGTGTGAGGTGACACGCTCCATTCGCCTTATGGCTCCTCAATTGCCTCCTGCTGGTATAGAAACGTAGCCTGTCACTCCAATCGACATCTCGGTTCCCCCACCATCCCCTGTGTGTGTGAGATCAAAACTGGCGGAAGTCATGAGGGTCGGGGTTTAGTGACTGATGGTTTAGCACTCGGTGAAGCTGGTTTGATTCTGTTTCACTGCCGCCGAATGGAAACTAGACAGGTAGTGCTGGACCCCAGGGTTGTCCCATTGGTATTGATATCTAGTATGTTATAATGGTGATGGTACAGGTTGTCTAGTTATGGGGCTGGCTGCTTCTACTCCCCAGAGGATTCCCACAGTTGTCATGGAGCAAAGAGGAATACTATAGCGCAGGGGTAGGCAAACTCTGCCCCCCCTCCCCCAGCTGCAATGCAACTACAAATCGGATGATGCATTGCAAGATGCCGACAGCCATAGGCATGACTCCCAGAGGCAGATGCATGGTGGGATTTGTAGTTTTACCACAACTGGAGGGCCTGAGTTTGCCTACCATAGTTTCACTTGAATGAGAACTTAGTCTCCAGGGGCTGCTGATATTGCATCCAAGATGGCGGCAGCTCTCAGTGTCTTTGGATATCTACACAAGGGGGGATTTTACAGGTCAATAACATTTATAAAACACATGAAATGCATAAATAAAGTTATGTGAAGATAATTGTTGAAATAATTGTCTGGTAATGGGGACTCTTCAAAGCAAACCTTTATTTCCAGGCTCAGGAAAAGTAACCGATTTCCTTTAACCCTTCCCCTTCCCCAAGCGGTTTATACTTCCCCTTCCTTCTCTCCTCCCCTGCTCTATTTAGTGCCAGGAGCTGAAGGGAATATGGTACTGACAGGTTAATGGGGGCATGTGACTCACTCAATGTGACCGCTCTGGGCAAATCAGTACAGCACGGTCACACACGGCAATGGACTACAATATCCTGTGTGAGCTCCCACATGACTGCTGATGGCTATATGGAGTGACAGGGGAGCAAAAGGAAGGTGCATATACACCTAGGTGAAGGTCGGAATTAAAGTGAACCTGTTGCTTTTCTCTGCATGGGGAAAATCCCAGATTTAGATTAAATCTGAACTCCAGGCAAATGTAGAAAACATGATTTAATACATTTGTTATACCTGCAAAATATTCTAGTTGCATGTAGACAAGGACGTGGATCTGTTTTGATATTTGCCTCCTGTTATAAGGTAGGGAAGCCCTAGGAAGCCAGTCAGGCTCTGCTGCATGCAAATGTGCTGACTGGAGAAATGAACGGACTCCTGACCGGAGAAAGGAATAGCGAGCAGAATGATGATTCATCAGCCTGCTGCTCCTTCATTGTCCAATCACCAGTCTGGTGCTGTGGTTTAAACCAATATGCTGATTATCATTTGTTAACTGTTGACTATAATTTGCCTGTTTACAGGTCCAGTGTGTTTGCCCTGCATGTCACAGAGCCTCCGATATCTGCTCAGCTGCTGGCCTTCCTGAGAGTCTTCTGCATGAGTGAAGGTGAGATATCTGAACTGTCTCTGATATGGCAGATGCAGTGACCCAGAGCAACCTGACCAATCGTAGATTCGCTTTTCCTTGGCTACCCTTCTCATTATCGATTTAGTTTGTTTCCCTAGTGCTCTCCTCCATGCTGGGAGCCGGTCTGCCCTCCGATCCCCGTTGCTCCCAGCGGGCATCAGAGTGGACGCAGACCCCTGCAGCCGGTGCCCAGCAGTAACAAGAGCGCCTAGCTTTCTCCTTCAGGTCCGTCCTCTGATGATTGACAGCAGGCAGTGGGCGGGTGTAAAAGCCAGCCTTCTATTGTCTATTGCAATATGAAATAGCCAATAGCAGGCTGGCTATTGCCCCCCTACTGCCTGCTGTGTTTACATTTAGCTGTTTTTTTTTGTCTTGGCCGCGGCTAAAGCTATTCAAGTGTGATGGCACCCCAAACGCCCCCCTCCCCCGCAGTCTATTTTAAATTAAGGATATTTTTTGTTTTTTATCCGATTTTATTTGAAGAAAAAAACTCTTTAGTTTAAAAAACTCAGGACGTAGCAGATTGAAAGATGAGGGAATTCTAGAGCAAAGTGTACTTACCCTCTTTGCCCTGACCTAACATCCCCCTCCACAGATACATACTTATCTAGATCCGATGGCCGCATTTCTGCTGTTTACATCCAGCAGCAAACGTCTTCACTGTCGTGGCTGCACCTGAATATTACAACCCTATAACCCGTCCCCGGCCTCGGGACACAGCCCCATAGAAGTCTTTTGGATACTAATGCACAGGCACAGCCAGGGCAGTAAAGACTTGAACCTTTGGCTGTAAACAAACATTGAAACCATGGACTTCGGATCGAGGTAAGCATGCATCTGTGGAGCGGGAGGGTTGGTTAGGTGAGGGGAAGGGGGCAAATTGTGTAAGAGCGCTCATTCTTTAAACCAAAAGGTCATTTTGAATTTGAATAATATTCCTATTACTATTGTGTAGTCATTTTTACATGCTGATATTTGCTTGATAAAACTGAGCTTTCCTTATACGCCTATAATTTAACATAAGATTTGTTTTCTCTTCCTTCCAGATGAGCTGAAGGAACACTTGATCGGAGAGCATGCAATCGATAAGATCTTCACCCTGGGGAATAGCGAGTTTCCTGTTAGTTGGGACAATGAGATCAAGCTGTGGACTTTCCTGGAGACGAGAGCTTCACTTCTGCTGAAGACCTACAGAACCACCATAGAGGTCATTTCCCAATGTTCTGTGTTGGGCCTCATGTGCTAGCTGTCATTTTGGTTGCTTACTATGGGCAGTGCTTGTATGTAACCATTATATGTATTAGGGATGCACCGATACCGGTATTTTGGTACGGAGTACGAGTACCGATTAATTTTTTTTCGGTACTCGCCGATACCAATTACAATGCGAGTACCGGAAATCTCATTCAGGAAGCCAGGTGGCGTGTAATTACCTCACCTGGCTTCCTGATTAGCCGGGAAGCCGGGCAGCGCGTATTGACTCGCCACCCGGCTTCCCGATTACCAAGAAAGTCCCCTCTCACCTCGGCATGTCAAGCCTGCCACCCCCGGGGCCTCTCCAGCCAGGAGCGGCCTTCCTCCGGTACCCAGCCAGAGCCGGCTTGCTGGCCAATCATGGAAGCCGGGCGCCGTGTAATGACGCAGCGCCCGGCTTTCTGATTGGCCGGGAGGCCAGCTCCAGGCTCCCTCGTCATGAGATGACGAGGGAGCGTGAAGCCGGTGCTTCCAGGCCAATCAGAATGCGGGCAGCGTGTAATGACGCGCTGCTCGGCTTCCTGATACGGGAAGTATCAGGCTAGCTATCGAAGCATTTGGGCGAGTAAGAGTACTCGCCCAAATACTCGGTATCGGCACCGATATCGATGCTAGTATCGGTATCGGTGCATCCCTAATATGTATACATGCTGGGAATAAAAATGTCCACTCTCCACTATTTTTAGCTTTTTTATATTCTCTTCTTCAGACGTGGTTAGATGTGAACTCTTGCACATCTCTTTTTATTTTTAAGCAGTTGTGTTGACAGGCAAGCGAGAAGGTAGTCTGGGTGATAACTGTCATCAGGACAAATGGAGAGGGTGATACTCCTTATCGGGTACACAGACAGCAATTGGGTATTGATACAGACGGCGTATCGCTGCTCACCAGTCCTTGAATGCGACTTTCTCAGACTTTGGTACCTTTTATTTTCACATGGTCATTTTGGCAGTAACATATTTTCTGTCCTTAGGTGACAATGCTCACTTACTGTACTGTATTTATGGAGGAGCAGTGTGGTCACCCTAGGACATAAACTGTGTTAGGACCACAGAACACTCTCCCTTCACTGTCATTGCCCAGCGGGGAGTTGCTTTGTAGTTTGCAGAAGATAGCTAAGAAAGCTAATACCACTGTGTGAGATTTTGGGTCTGTCCACAGGAAGTTACAAGATGTTTAACAGGAACAACAGGTATTGTTCTTTTCTTGCTGAAAGTGTGCTTAATCTGAAAAAATAGAAAACGAAGGCAGCCACCACATCTAAGGGCTGATAAGCTGGACTTTATTACATTTTTGTTCCTGGGCTTAGATGTACTTTAAAGCTGAACTGAAACCTGCTTATACTTTGGCTTTCAAGTTCCTCCTTTTCCTTCTCGTCAACATGCTAATGAAAGTTTGATAAAACCTTTCTGTTTTCATTACATACTGGAGTGTATTTAGCAAAACTGGAGCAGACAAAATCTGGAGCAGCTGTGCATGGCAACCAATCAGCTTCTCTCTTTCATTTTCAAATCTTAACTGAACAAACTGAAGATAGAAGGCGATTGGTTGCCATGGGCAACTGCTCCAGATTTTGTCTGCTCCAGTTTTGATAAATTCCCCTCACTGTATTTTAGTCCCAGTAATGTTGTCACTGGTTCCCTGTGCAGGTGGGAGAGGCCAGCAGGGTGCTACACATAGTTTTATAAAAGAGTCACAGCCCTCTGCCTCGGTATTCCTCACGAGAGCACTCATGCAGGCAGTGGGCTGGCCCTTTGGATGAGTTATGCAAATATTAATGTGCCTACATGGGTGGGTGTCAGTCTGGAGGAGTGGGTATTTCTTGGCAGACTAGGTAATGCCCATATGTGATTCTGAGCTGCCATGATCGAAAGACATGAAATCCATTGAATGGGCCGGGGACATCCTCCAGCCAGGAAATGAGGCGGGCTCTCTCTGACTTGCAGCAGCTTCTAATGCACATTGTGAGCAGCTCACAGTGTGCAGTGATATCAGAGGAAGCCATTTCAGTCCAGGAGAGAAGACGGGACAACCGTGCAAGACTGAAGGGAAGGACGGAGGTCAGATATAAGACTGAAGGGACGGACGGAGGTCAGATATAAGACTGAAGGGATGGCTGGAGTTCAGTTTTAGGAAGATCTAACCCTTCCCTACTATAAGCACAAAAAATATTGTCTCTGGATACACGTTAGGCACACATGCTTGGGGTCTCAGCTGCCGTGATGTGCGGGGTCCCTTGTGTGTCCCTGTGCCTTTAACCACTTGCTGACCGGGGTGTTTACACCCCCTTCCTGTCCAGGCCATTTTTCAGTGTTCAGCGCTGCTTTATTGCTATCACATAGGGGACTAACAAGCTCCCTATGTGATAGCTAATTTTCAGTGTCGGGTCCTCTTTATGGAGACATCAGGGGTCTTTAAGACCCCCAATGTCACCTAGGGACCCCAGAGAAGCTGATGAAGCAGAGACCTGCTTCACCAGCTTCTCTCCGGTTTCTGTACCGGAGAGTGACACTGAATGCAGGAAGTGATGTAATACACATCACTGCCTGCATTCAGAAGAGGAGGAGGAGATCAAACGGAGAACGTGTACTGAGCTCCGTTTGATCTCCGGCCACAGAACTGCTGTGCGGGTCGGGCTCGCACCGGGCACAGCGTAGCTCGGGATCGCCAGCAGCGGCTGCAACAGAGGGGGGGCGCACACCTGCACGCACATTACAAGCGATCCGGCATCTCTACAGACACACTAACGCTTGTATGTAAACAGCCATCGCTGGCTGTTTACATTCCAGGCTGATTTTCCCGCTCGTGCGCTGTGCCTAGCAGGGGGCTCGAGCGGGGCGGGATGGGACGTTTAAAAACGCCCATTCAGGAAGCCGCTGTCCGGCCGGACAGCAGGTGGTTAAGGAGGTTGTGCTGGGAAACTTTTTGCTGTTGTACTGGATACATGCTAATTCTGGTTTTATAGCCCAAAGCAACACTGTTGAGTATTTTTTCTAACAATTTCTTACATTCATTTTTTTACTCCTTTTAGGGGGACAAACACCTTTTAGAACAAGGGAACCTCTCCCTTCGCGCAGCAATGGCCATCAAGCTGCGCCTCGTGGAGAAGGAGATCTTGGAGAAAGCGGTGAAAAGCGCTTCCGATAACCGCAAGATGTACAGCAAACGCTTGGAGGACGGCGACCCTCTCCCGAAATACGAGGAAAGCAACATCGCCTTTTTGGAGAACACGGCATCAGACTCCAAACTCCCCCTGGTGCTGAGAAACCTCGACGAAGAAGACGCCGAGCCGGCGGAGCTCAACATCCAGGAGGCCCTCACCATCTCCGAATTCACCGAAAACGGTTACGTCAACGGGAAAGACTCTCTGCTCAACGGGACCAAGCCTGAAAGCGCTACCGAGCTCCCAGAGGAGGGAGCAACCAAAAACGCCAAAGAGATTTCCGCGGAGTGCACCGGCGAGGCTCAAGTGCAATTGTGAACTATTTTTGACTTTTAAGGAGATTTAGAAAGAAATACAGAGTTTTGGAAACAGTGCAGTTGCATTGCTGTGTTCACTTGTTTAACTTTTTTGGCAGATAAAGATGTTGCTGCTTTTGTTGTTTGTTTTTTACGTTGACCTTTAAAAGAAGTGTTTGATGGAGGAAAGGCGAAGTTTTGTTTTTAGCCAGCCGGTCAGGTTCCAGCGGTCACTGTGAACCAGCCCTAAACAACTGCCAGCCGGGGCTCGTTCAGCTGCTGCCGGCTATGCGGGCACTTTTCTTTCCTCCATTTTGAGTACCTGTCTAAAGGGGTAGCGCAGGGATAGGAACAATCAACATGTCTGTGGGATTTATTCTATTAAAGCCATCTTACGCTTTTTGCAAAAACAAGGTGGAAAGAAATTTGGCAAATGTTGATAGATAGAAGCCTGGACCTGCAAGAAAGGGGGTGAAGGAGATTTACACTTTTAAAGATTATTGTTTGCTTGACTTTTTTTGTTTTTTTTTCTTTTCTATGTGTTTTTAGATTTGCCATTTTTATGACAAGTTTACATTTTTAGTTTGAAGAATATAAAGGTTTGCCAATGCAGAGGTAAAGAAAAAGCATCCCTCTCCATTTCAGCAGGATCCACCTGCAGGTACGACCTGGTATAGCAATGTCTCCACTTAGATCTGACGGAGCCCCACAAGTGGCTGTAAAGATGCATGTAATGTAGAAGATTGCTGTCATGGAGGATTCTGACTGTATGTGTGTATAAGCAAAGAACAGATCAGAGGGCAATAACGAGACAGTGCGGTGTACCAACTAGAAGACCATGCTTATTCATCCATCATCAGCCCAGGACTTAAAGATCTACAAATATCTATGGGGTAGGCAACCTTGTTAACTCCAGCTGTGCCGAAACTATAAATCTAATTGTGCATTGCAAGACGCTAACATCCACAGGCATGACTCACAGAGACATGGTGGGATTTGAAGCTTCACCACAGTTGGAGTGCCAAGGTTGCCTACTCATGTAATATACATTTGTTAATGGAAACACTGACGGCAATGAGAAGAAGGGAGGAGGTCGCTTTCAGTAGTATATTGTTTTATCTTCAATGCCACTTAATGAACAGTTGTTCCCTGAATGTGGATACCTAGAAGTAGAACTGTGACCAGGCTGTAGACATTCAAATGTACACATTCCTAACAAGCAGTAAATGATTTTGAAAACAAGCCCTCATTGACCCCTATAGCTGTAGGCACGTAGGCACTGTGGAGTAATTCATCCTCACCCTGAAGCACTTAAGTCCTACAAGTCTGTTCTCAGCACTCTGCTCTCTTCCTGTGTGCCTGCTACTGTGTTTATTTTAGAGACCTGCAGGCTCTCAAGTCACTGCTGCCGGGGGGGGCAATTTATAAAGGAGCCATTTAACCTACCAGAATTTCTTTGGAGAGAGGACCGGCATACCCGGAGGAAGCCAACACAAGCACAGGGAGAACATGCACATTCCATACAGATAGTGTCCTGTCTGGGATTCGAACTGGGGACCCCAGTGCTGTAAGGCTGAAGTACTGACCAATGAAAGAGTTTTCCTGTACATTGTGAGAATAAATTCTGTCACAGTTCCTGCAGCTACGGAGGCTGGTGAAGAGCTTATTTACTGCTTGTTATGAATGATGAACTTCCACAGCCTGGCCCACAGATCTGATTGGATTATACTTGTCAGGAGGGAGAAGCATAAGGGCCTCAGTTGCTGAGTCTCCTTTTAGAAAATTCTTGCTGTTTGTCATGCTTCAGTATTTGGAGTCCTTAACCAGGAACAAAAATTTAGAGGAGGGCTTTTGATTTTTATTCCGCTTACCGAATCAGCTTAATTGTTCCGGGTTAGTACATCACAAATTGTCAGTGGGTCAGCCCAACAGCCAGGAAGTTACCATTTCAGTTCAGCAACGGCAACCACCATATTTTTCTTACAACGGGTTTACTTTAAATTCTGCCGAGACAACATGGGCTGCAGCGTGAGTTTCTTCCCGTTCTTTACAGGCAGGGTAGCAGTAGGTGGTGACCGCCGCATTGTACTGTGGTATTAGGTGCTGAGTCCACTCTTTATTTAGGGAGGTCAACCTGCAGACTGGTAGGTGGGAAGGGAGGGCTCTGGGTCCACTGTTCCTTAAGGCCTGGTTCACACCTGGGCGTTTTACTGCGCGTTCCTACACTCTGTAAAACACTCAATATGTAAAAAACCAATCATTGCCTATGGGCATGGTTCCCACCGCGCTGAAAAACGCCCTACGCCCAAAGAAGTACAGGAGCTTCTTTGTGGCGTATTGTCCGCGCGTATCCATTAGGATACAGCCAGATAGCCCTCGTAAACGCGCGTTTCTTTTACCGCAAATCGCGCGGCAAACGCGCATATTCTGTACGCCCAGGTGTGAACCCAGCCTAAAGCGTTACAAGTCTCAACACAGGCTGATGTGGCACACTGGTGCTTCTAAGTTTTCTTTGGCTTGAGGTCTGCAGAGTACATGGCGGCGATCCCCAAGATCTTGATTTAGGAGGAATTTGAGGCGTGGTCCCTGTACAGATAATGCATCTAAAGTGTGCCAACAGGAGCCTGTGTTTATCATCACTTGTATTAAACACACTCAAAAGACGACGTTCTCCAGTTAAAAGTAAACTTATTTCTACGTATAGAAGGCAGAGCTCAATTAAGAGCATCATGGGCCTGGTGCTGGTGTGGGTTGGACAGGAAGCAGCAGAGACAGCTCTCTTATTAGGCGGCTTCTCGCTTGGACTTTGCAGGGTGGCCACCTAATATGACTGATTAGACAGCCTCCAGCACCTCTGCCTGATTGTGTTCTGCCCGGTTTGCCATCGGGCATACTGAGGTGATCTGGGCTGACTGGGCCTATTTTCAATGGTGGACCAGTAGCCCTATGTTAATCTGGCCCCGACAGAAGGGGAGGGGGGGGGACTGTTTGACATGTAGCCCTCAGCTCAGCAACTAATGTCAAAGCTGTGTGATGTCTGAGACCTTATCTCGGATCAAATGTGCTGATATGGACTGGTTGTTGGGAAAAGGTATTTGTTTAGTTAGTACATTTTCAAGCAAGCAATTGTCATTAGCACCACTAATTTCTGGAAAGGGCTTAGACCAACACCAGCCCTTCCGCATACTATAGCGATCTATGGCTTGAAAATAATTTTCCTCCTTTCAGCAGCACTGGGGATAGTCTTAACAAGCTTTTCATGTAGCAATCAAGATGCATTGAGTGCTAAGTGGCATGTCAGTAAGTGTTGTCAGGTGCCTCCAGTTAGATCTTTCTGGAGTTAGTAGTAATCGGGCACATAGAAGTGGACCAGTTCTGTCATGTTGCATATGATTCATAGCTTCTTCAGTTCTAAGTGATAGGAACATACCCCAGCATTTATATCCACACAGGTAGCAATGCAATGCTGGGTGTATGTTCCCGACATTCATTAGAACTGAAGAAGTGGCTTGGAGAAGCTACGTAACGTCTTCAACATCCCAGAACACATCCAGTTCATTGTGGCGAAGTACTACTAGCTCTACCAGGAGCTGGATAAATGAGGCCCTTCAATGGCTTTATGGAGGATATGTTCATAGCCCAGCATATTTAGGTACTAAGACTTCATGGGTGACCATGTGGAAAGACAGCCACATCCTGGTGCCCGAGGATCCGTGCTGCTGCAACCTACTTAGCCTTCAGCATTAATCGTTGTTGTTTTTTAATTTCTACACCAATTTGTATCAGAGGGAGGAGAAACGCTTCTGACCTTCTCGTGTTGACCATTTGCAAGATGCATCTCCCAGGACCATCCAGCTGATCCTTTACTCGTAGCCACCAGCCAGGATCAAGCCTCCAGGTCCATTGCATGTTGACTTTTTCCAGCTCAGTCACTTTACTGATAACAAAGCCCAACGATTGGCTGGACCGCCCTGGAAGATACATCTAGAAAGAGGAGGTCCGAGATGTTTTTCTTGATGGCATGGGCATCTGTCACAAGGTAACATACATGTGCGGGGAAACTCCAAAGGAAATCTGCTGTGTTCCGACTCCATTATTAGTTCTAGTCCAGTGTACTTTGCAGTGAATAGATTTCAGAACCAAGATCTTAGAACCAAAAGGATGGCAGCTGTTATCTGAGACTTCTCCCTCAAGGGGTTTTGCCTCCAGGAGAGATACCCTTCTGCTAAACCTCTCCCGAAGTTGGCCGATTCAAGCTGAGCAAATGATATAAGGAAAAAAAACTCCTACGTTGGGGATATTTTAGTGAAAACTTCATGTCAGAATGATCGGTAGATTCAGAGAACTCAACTGATGAAGTTATATGCAGATCTTGATCTGGATGGCGTTGATGACCAATAGGGAGGCTTAAGAGGAGGGGGATGGGCAGGGCCAAGATTGACGTTTACAGGAAAACTTGAAATTTGCTTATAACTTCAGCTGCATTGATCCTGTTGGCAGACATTTTTTTTTACATTGAAGATGACCTCTGCTTATATACTTTTCATATGTTTAGTTTGAAGCAGGTTTACTTTAAAGAAAATGTTGGCCCTTGACACAAAGGAGTAATAGAAGTATTTGGTTTAAGTTAATATATATGTGTAAATACAAAAATATATATATATTTTATGACAGTGAATCACATTACAGCACACTCAGTCACTGGGAGTTCGGAGGCGTACGGGTTCGCACAAAGCTTTAGCCAGTGCAGTCTTGGAGGGGCTGAGGGTTATTGGGGTACACCTCCCAAGTGACAGGTCAGGATTGATTCTCGGCTCCTCTGGTTCTCAAGGTAGCAAGACCTTGTCAAAGCTACTTCTTTTTTTTTTTCCCTTGAAATCTTCATTAAAAGAGATGTGAACGAATTGTGGTGTCGTGTTATTTCTCTGTGCTTGTTTGTGACTTGGGCCTCATGGGTGCCTGTGCAATGGAAAATTTGGGGTGTTTACCCACCAGGGAGCAACAGATGCTGCATATAGGGGACCATAGATAGCAAAGCCTGTATAGGGCTGTATGAGGGTATAGGCTGGTGCTTGGGTGAACACACTCATGCATATGGATCTACAATCCCAAATGCAGACAGTACGTCCATACGCATGCATGTGTTTTAGGCAAGTACCCGCTCACAACCTTATACGACCATTGATGTCTATGGGTCAT